TGGAAGCATTGGTGGTTATATGTAAGTATGGTAGGATGGACGGTCAGGCCTTTGTTTTGGGATGCTCTTAGTTGGTCACAGCACTCATTTGCGACCGTTGTTGTCACGTGTCGGTGGGTTCTTTCCTGCTTGCCTCCCTTTTTTTTTTAACAATGTGCAGATGCGGCTTTCAGCCAGATGGGCGTGTAGGAATCTGGCGCTTAAACCACCAGTATGTTCCCCAGCCAGTCTTCTCTGATGCGGCTGCATGCACACTGCCACGTTTGGGGGTCGGCTTCTTGAACGAAATGGCTGGTGGCACTGGCCAAAAGGAGGTCCGCGCCAGAATCTTCTTTTTGTGCGCAGTGTGACGAGTCCTTATCTATCAGTCAAACACATCTGGAGCAGACTGTCGAGTTTTGACCTCCTGGTGAAAATCTGGTGAAACAGTCTGTCTCAGGCTCCCTTTTGGGGAGTTCTTTGTAGTGAATCCAGAACACACAGCGCACACGTGGCATGTCCTCTCCGTAGAGCGGGACTGGACTTGCAGTGCCGATACATATTTTTTCGGTGTGACAGACCTTTCTTTGTTTCGCGGGTGTTTTGCGGGCTTGTGATGGGGTGTGAACCGACAGTCTGTACAGTTTTCCAGCTGGTGTGGGTGAATGATAGCCTACTGCTTTGATTTTCGTCACAGGTACCTTGAGGGCAGTGGTTGGTGCCCACCTCAGGGTATCAGTTGTCGGGCAGTCATTGATGCTTAACCACAATCGGGACTTAAGGTGTGGATTCTCACTTACAGCGTACTCAGTTATCGCTCTGCCTGCACAACATTGTTAAGATGACAAAATTCTTTCTTGCGCCACCCTCCTCCTGCAGAATACAAGTTTGTATTCCACTGCAGGTGTGCATGCCAATCGACATGATGAGAAGCAGATGCCTGGCGGTTCGACGTGTGAGCATGAGCAAACGGAACATAGTGTCCAGGAGGAAAGCTTGGTATAGCACCTGCCATGCCAGCGGCAGGAAATCTGCTGAGAGGGGTGGGAAGTATTGTGCCAGCCCCTTGATTATTCCTTAATTGTGGATTCATTGTTGATTAAGAAACAGTTTAGTTTTTATTTATTTTTCAGCATTGCTCGGATGGACTGCAAATTTCTGCCCCGCCACGCGCAGACCACATGGGTGATCTGCAAATGACTGACCGGCAAGCAACCTAAGACAGTTTGGGGTTGCAACACCATCTGGGTGATCTGCAAATTGTTGGCCAGCATCCAGTACACCAGCCTGAGAACTTCACCAATCTCTGTGGCCTGACGGCAACTAATATCTGTCTTCACATTCTCCACCGCCCGTTTTATACACCGTCAGACTTCCTTGCAATCGCCCTTCAGCTTGATGCTGATCTTCCCCAACTACAGCCAGAGGATTGTAATTATTGCATTGCTGTCCTGCAAGTAGCAATGAGGGACCGTCAACTTGAACTACGCAATGCTCGAGCAGGTGAGTGGTTTAATCCTCCATCCCATATCTCTGGCTGCATTGCGCACGGACCTGGCCATTACATGGCCATTGTACATGCCTCTGACCGCTGGGAGCTGTGGGACAACGGTACCATGGTCCATGCCATGACTGATGTCACTGATTTCTTACATAATGATGTTGTTTCCTTGCCACAGCAAACCGTCCACAATCTCTTTTATGTGGAAGATCATTCCTCTGGCCCTGTGCTGCAGCAAGACAATGTACCGACACTCTGCGACCTTCTCCTTTGTATGGCTAGAAACACTGTTTCACTCGGCTGTAGCTGCCATCGTCTCTGTCACAATCACTACAATGACATGGTTTCTGCATCCATGTGTGCAGAGGACTGTCCCTCCGTTCCTGACTGCAGGCACCCTCCGCATCCAGACACTATTATGCCCACTTTGCGGCCATGGGCGCTATACTGAATGCGTGTCTTTTGTGGTGACCGTTCTTCCTTCATTGTGGCCTGCAATTGACATGCCATTTGTCGATGGTGTACAGTGGGCATGCTCAATGCCAGCCGTCGTGGCAATTGTTGTACTGAGAAAGCTCAGCTACGTCTTCCATGTGTTCATCCACCTCATCCTTACAATGTATGTCCCTCTCTGTCGTCAAGGACAGACTCATTCTTGAGCCTTTTCTTATCCTCGTTTGCCTTCATCTTCACTTCACACTCCATACTTTCCCTTACTTTCACTTTATCATTCTTTGTGTGTCTTCTCTCCATCTCTCTTCCTTGTGTTTATCCCCTCCCCCTTCACTCTGCCTCTTTCTCACAGCATACAAGTGGGCTGTTATGGCACATGGGGATGGGGGCAGCTCACACTCAACTTCATCAGCGTGGCGAGCCTTGTATGTGAGAGGCACAGTGTAGGGGGGTTAAAAAAAGAATGAGAAATTGAATGGTTTCAATGTGCCCTTGTTTTTTTTTTTGTTTATCCTTTCTTTCACAAAGTGCGGTCTTTTAGCTCGTAGCTAGGGTTCAGCCTCCTGACGAGTCGGTGAAAAACTCCGATGAAACAGCTTGTCACAGCCCCTTGTTTGTTGTCCTCTTCTCCCTCTCTTCCGACTGTTTACGGGGCAGTTCTGTTTGATGTAAATTCAGCCTCCTGATGAGTCGGTGAAACTCCGACGAAAGTCTGTCACAGCCACTTGTTTGTTGTCCTCTTCTCCCTCTCTGCCTACAGTTTACCGGTCAGCTGTATTTGACAATATATAGGGTTCAGCCTCCTGATGAGTTGGTGAAGCTCCGACAAAACAGTTTGTCACAGCCCCTTGTTTGTTGTCCTCTTCTCCCTCTCTGCCTACGGTTTACCGGGCAGCTCTGTTTGGAGATATGTATAGGGTTCGGCCTCCTGACGAGTCTGTGAAACTCTGACGAAACAGTTTGTCACAGTCCCTCGTTTGTTGTCGTCTTCTCCTTCTCTGCCTACGGTTTACCAGGCAGCTTTGTTTGATGATATATATCCTGGTTGGTTGTTTCCCGTTGTTCGGCCTTTTGAGCGCTGGGCGGTGCTTGTATGTGGGATCGTCATCCGGGATTGCCTTCTCTTCCTTTTTTTTTGGTTGTCACACTGTGGATCGGAGCTTTTTTTGCCTTGTCTACGTCCCGGTTGGTTTTGTCCCGTTGTTCGGCTATTTGGGATGTTGCCTGGTTGATCCTGGTAGCGGTGCTTTCATGTGGGACTGGTCATCCGAGTCCTTTTTTTTGGTATGGCATCCTGGCTGGTCTTGTTCCGTCCTTTGGCCTGTAGTTGCTGGGGGCGGTGTTTGCATGTGGGACTTGTCATCTAGGATTGTCATTTAGTATTTGCTTTGCAGCCCCCTGTTCTGTTTTGTTTGGGCTGTTTCCTTCCTCTTTTCTTTGCCTCTTTGCCTTTCGGCTGTGTGCAAGTGGGTCGATATGACACACGGAGGTGGGGGCAGCCGCCGCTCAACCTACATCCACGTGGGCGGCCTTGTACGCAAGAGGTTCTGAACAGGGGGAGTTGTAAGGAAGAAGATTAAAAATGAATTGCTATTTTTCTGTTTCCTTTGTTTGTTTTTTACAGTTTGCCACAGCCCCTCGTTTGTTGTCCTCTTCTCCCTCTCTGCCTACGGTTTACCGGGCAGCTCTGTTTGTATATATATATGTATATATTGTTAGACTCTGATGTGGTGTGAATTAGGCAGTACTCACACTAGGACTTTCTGCACACAGCACTGGACGTGATTACAGTCAGATGCATTCAGGTATGGATGTAATTGCGACCAGATGCACTGAGGAAAGTGCGAGTGTGATTAGGGCATACTCACACGAGGCCCTCAAAATTGCGAAATCGAAAAATGAGCGGCTAGATTGAGTCCTTGTCAAGGTACTACTCCATCTGACCGCTCGTTTTGCAATTTTGCAATTTTGAGGGCCTAGTGTGAGTATACTCTTACTCTAGCAAAACAGTCAATGCAATTGTGAGTAGCCTACACGTGCGAAACAGGAGCAGCACTGTAACCACACTGAACTTTTTTTTTTTTTTTTTTTTTTTTGACGGGTGAAAGCCTTGAGGTATGGTCATCGAACTGACCAGCCCCAGTTAATTCGAAGTTGTTTCATTCGTCTGATGCATCGGGATTTGAACTCAGGTCCATATATCAACAGGTCATGGGTATGCCATTCACTCACTCTGAACGTCATTACAAAGCATCACCACAGTATAATCAGAGATGTACCCCCAACCGGTTTCGACCGCCGCCACACAATTCTCCGCAGGGGATGGGTTGTTTATGGACTCAAATTCTCAATGTTGTTGCTGTATCTGTGTGGGGTTGGGTTTGCAGGACTGTCGGCAAGTCGGCCTTGAACATGCGGCTCTACACGGCTCTCCCTGCGATACCATCTGTATGTCGATCCGCAGGACAAACAGGTAATGATGAGAAGGGGGGAACCGATGACAAGGAAAAAGAAGATGTAATGGGCTGTGTGCCCATGGGCGAAGGCAAAGAAGAGGGCGGAGACATAAAGTTGGCCGAGGGAGGGGGTATGCTTTGCAAAAATGTGCGAGCAAGCTGGCTCAGTGGCTGTAATGTGTATGGAGATGCGATTTTGGCAGCAGTTGGCCATGCATGGGAGGGACCAGATGTGTGGGCGTGGAGATGGACTAATCTGACAATCAAGGACTACCACATGTAAGTTTCTGTTACGATGGATTATTCCCCCCCCCCCCCCCCCCCCCCTGTCTCAGCTCCTCAAATATGACCTTCAGTTTTGCTACTCTTTGCTTTCTTTTCTTGCTTCAGTCTTTTTAACTCTTAATGCATTTATTAAATTTTATTTATCTGCTTCCTTGCGCTTCGCACATCAAAGATGAGGCGCCGCTGTGTCTCATAACGGGTTGGTATGACATCGAGCTGACGTCTGTGTCTCTGCTGGAGCTTGCCCTCCTCCTCTTGCTCCTCCTCCTACTGCTACTCCTGCTTCTCCTTGTTCGACTTCATTTGTCTTTCTGGGCAATGCCAGTCCGGTTCCCATTTCACTGGCAACTCATGTGCACGTGTGCATGTGTGTTTGTGTGTGTGCTGGTGGGGGTGGGTG